AGTTCATTAGGTATGTACAGTCAAGCTTTTCTCCCACAGGAAGCAGGGACCAGTAATCACCCTTCCATTAATTCAGGAGTCTCTTTCAAAAGAACAGTAGCAAACTATTCACATACTAAAATACGCTGAGAACTTCCCTTCCTAGGACAGCATCTCCTCTATATGCCTGTTGAGGAACTACTACACAAAAAAAGCCTAATATAGCTTTTTTCTGAAATGGTGATTTTGTCAAACATTAAGCAAAGCTGTATGGTATTTTCATGCTGGAACTAAAGAAAATAAGTCCAGTGCCTAGAATCAAAAAACACATGGCTATTATTATATCCTAATCACTATCTCCTTAATACCACTAGGCAAGTTATCTTTCAGTGAAAGTGGTAAGGCGAGTATGAGCATATGTTTGGTCTTATCTGATCATTTGCCTTAACCACCCTATGATTTTTTTTTTATGCTACACCCTATAATTATTTTCTGGTATTCTCTACCCGCATTTCTATTCCCAAATTTCGTAAAATATTAAATAATCACTTCATGTGACTGTATAAATAAGAGCATCTGACCAGAAAGAATGAGCCATGGGATACTTTTTGCTAACGTAAGTAAAGACATATTGTTTGAAGTTTTAATACAACTAAAAAAGCAAATATATTCTGTTTACAAAATGACCAGTTTTCTTAAAGAAGAGTTAAGTAGTTAACACTTCAAAACTCGCAGCTAATAAGAGCTTCTAAAGACCATCTCCATATCAGTCAGAAAATTCATGACCATAAACAGGGCTTCATAATCACAAAAGTGAGTAAAAACAAAGCTCCTAAACAAGACAAGAACAAGCTGAGTGGATGAAGAAGGGAAATGAACACCAACCAAAGCAAAAGACTTCATTTAAAAAATGGCCTTTAATATAAATCTGAATACAAAAATAAGAAAAACACCCTACAGTCATCGCAAACAAATCCTCAAAGTTTTCTCTCATCAGTTGCCCGACAATTTGGCAAGTGCTTGTCTTCTCTGTTCTGCAGTCATATACTCAGAGGCTTCCAAAATATTCACTATAATTAAAGTCTGTTGAACTGTTTTTGCTTTTACCCATATTCTTCCATTCATTCCCAGCACCATCTCAAATGGGTATAATTGTGACAACTCCTGAATTATTTCACATTTGGGAGCCAAGAGTCTGTAAATAAAAACAAAACAAAGTCAGAGGAAGAAGTGCTTACATTTACAGACACCACATTGTTATCATCAGTAACACCAACTGCTGTTATGGCAGCTACTAAAGCAACACCAAAAGGTAAGATGATCAAGCTGGATATACATTCAAAACAGTAACATAGTATCAATATATTCACCTAAAAAAATACAAGAATTGTGAATTTAGCAGGATTTTTTCCTAATTAAGATTTGGACCTGACCAAATTTAAGTGAATTGATAGTGTTATAAGGATTTTATGATTTAATAAAGTCTAAAATTACTCTATTTGACAAAGTGACATTCCTAAAGTGTTGCTATTTTTAAATTTGATGCCCAAGAGGCATCTTTCAAAACAGGACTTCCTTTCTACTTCAGGAGACAATATTAACAGCAGTAAACAGACTTTGTTTTTATTAGCTGGTGGCATACTGCATATGTCTAGGATTAAATCAAGCTTGAACAGCTTCACAAAGAAAAAAAAAAAACATATCAGGATTTACCAGTTTACTTGTTATTGCTTTACTTGCATACAGACAAAATTGGAAAACAAACAGAATGGCTGCAAAAAGTCTTTGTATCAGTTCACACTGACTTCTGATGGGACATATAAACCAAACAAATAATTACAGGTGTGAACAGTGGCTCTCCATCTCCAGATTGCTTATTCAAAGAACAACACCAAACAAGAAAAACCCACCCAAAAGGCAACAAAAAGCTTGACTATCATTTATCCATATAATCTGGTACTTCTTGATAGTCACAAAAAAATCTTGTCTTTACATCAGCATGACAAACTCCAAACCCCTTGAATCAGCTGTCAGCCAAATATACATCCCCACAATACCGTTAAGCAGAAAAAGGACAGTAAGCATCTCCTTTTTTTAAACTCCAAGGTAGTCTGTACATACCTGAAACACTACACTGAATGTCTAATATTGGAAATTAAAGCTAGATAGGACACTACCTTTATTTTCCATACTGCCTTGGCAACCATGTGACTTTTTTAAACAGGTCATGCAACACCATATAGAAAAGCATCTAAATCCCTTAAAAGGAAAAATAAATGCTTCTTCTATGTCCATATTCATATTCAGCACAACTGGTATAAATGCACTACAAGAACTACACGCACTGATGACCAAATTGTCCACACTGCTCAAAGGGAACAACTGGCAAATCCTACCTACCATATTACATATTAGAGCAACTACTTGTATTTTTTAGTACTTACTTTCTTATTAGGCCTAAGGAAACTTTAAAGAGGAAGCCATCTTGTCCAATTATTCCCATTCCACTTGATTTTCCACTGCTGTCTATACAGACCATCTCTGGTTCCATGTCTTTATTTGCTACAAGGAACTGACCATAAATAAGATCTCCAACCTAAACAAAGCAGTGTCAAAAAGCAAAAGAGAAGGTCATACAGTAAATTTGTAAGAAATATTGATTATCAATAAAGATCCTCTAGTGAAGCAACAAAATAGATTCAAAACAGTGATGATGGAAAAATAAAATGGCATATTATGAATTTTAATCTTCTCTTCTTCTACTAAAGACAGTATCTTCCATGAACTTGTACCACTCCTTGAATTTCTAAGAGGACAGAATTTTAATTAAAAGAGTTAAATAACTCTGTTCTTTTCAAATGCAATATACGAATTGCTCTTTCTTTTGACTCTGATGATATTAAAAATACAAGCAACCTGCTCTTGTAATCATTTATCAGAACAAAAAAACTCACACCAAGCTATTTGTTTTTCTTTACATTTTTCTTCCATTCTGACATTCTGGTGATGATATTTCATCAGAGTGCAGAGTGGCATGTGCCACACAACTGTGTCATCAAAAAAATCAAAACAGACACAAACATTTCATACCAGCATCACAGGGCATAAAAGCTTGCTTTAAAACCTTAACTTCATAGTGCCCCTTTGGATGTACATTACTCACAAACTGCATCTGCAGTATTATGGGAAAATTAAAACTCGAGAGCGAGGAAGCCTACGACCTGACACAGACCAAACCACACCAGCGTTCTCAAGAAACATCTGAAATCCCGCAGCCTAATCGTGCAAAAACCTGCGAGGAGGGCCCAGGCGACATCGCTGCAAGCAGACCTGCACTCCCCTTTTACAGGCGGCTTACAAAAACGCTTCTAACTAAGAGAAGCTACCAAAACGCATAAGAAGCGCCACCAAAGGACACGGCTACAGCATCGCCGCCAGCTCACCAGCACACCCACCTGCACGTTGGGCCTGTTCCTCTTGGTGGCGCCCTCGAAGGCCAGGTAGGACAGGGAGGCGGGCTCGCTGCCGCCCACGTCCAGCTTGAACACGTCCCCCGCCTTGGCCGTCACGATCCCAATAACGTGGTCACCCTTCACCGGCACGTACTGCAACAGGGCAGGGGCACACACGGGTCAGGGGTTTCACACACACACAACCAACCAACCAACCAGACATCCCCCGGTCCCCCCGCGCCCTCACCCGCTTCTGCTGCGAGTCCACCCAGTAGGCGCCGGGGCCCGCCGGCCGGTGCCGCAGGAGCCCGCACTTGGTGACCAGCAGCCCGGCCCCGCTCCGCCGCAGCCCCGGCCCGCACAGCAGCCGCCCCGCGGGCGCCGCGCCCGTGCTCAGCCGCAGCCGCTCGCCCTCCGCGTCCTCGCCGTAGTGCGCGGGCAGCAGCAGCAGGTCCCCCGGCAGCACCACCTGCCCCACGCAGGCCTCGGCCGGCCGGCCGCGCTCCCCCGCCATGGCCGCGCCGCCGCGGGGCTGCCTGGGCCGGGCGGCTGCGCTCTGTGTGCGCGGGGCGCCAGCGACACCGCCCGGCCGGCACCACTCACCGCCCTCGGTCCCGGAACGGGGAAAGCCGGCTCCCTGCTTCCCACGGAGCTCCATCACTGCCGCCTGTCCCAGGACTAGGGGAGCCGGCTCCCTGCTTCCCACGGAGCTCCATCACTGCCGCCTGTCCCAGGACTAGGGGAGCCGGCTCCCTGCTTCCCATGGAGCTCCATCGCTGCCGCGCAGCCTTTCCTTCAGGGAAGCAGTCCTCCTGCAGCCTTCCATTTGTGCCTAGGAATCGCTAGGAACTTGAGCGCCGTTAAGCTTGGGAATTGATACCCGCCCTGAATTAATTTTTCCAGCTGCTGTTGTTTGCAGCGTTTCTTAATACCTAATTAGAAGTTTGCCAGTAAAGCAAACAGCTGGTCAAATTTGAGGTGAATGGCGGCCAAGGAGAAAACACCACTCTGCCTTAAAGCTGGAAGCTCAAATTCCATAATAAGACGTTTATTGAAAAACGCACACTGTATTCGGCTACCAAGTTCTTCTTCCGTGTTAGCTCAGGTTCCTTTTGCTAAAATCCTAAGAATATTTTCTTCCCTGAACTGCTTTCTAGTCTTTATCTACGTGCCCGCATGCACTTAGACACAGATGTGTATAATCCCCTAAATTAACGGAGAAGGACCAGCGCCTTGCCAGTTGATTGCAGACAGGGCTGGGGTGAAGATGTTGTCAGACAATCCTTTCTGTTGCGAGTGGAAACTGGTCACGGAGAGAGAGCGTCAAGCGCATCCTTCGAGCTAGGTTTTTCCCTGGGAGACATCCTCCAGGGCCCAGTGGAGGCGCTGCTGCCGGGGCTCGCAGTGCTGTTGCGGGGCAACCCCGCGCGTCCGGGGCGGTGCCGGAGCGGCTGGGAGGCGGCAGCGGCAGCCCTTGGGCCAAGCCGGGCAGTAGGAGCGAGTCGGGCTGGGGCTGCTGTACCGGGGCTCCGGTAGCTGCTGTCAGGGGGCAGCAGGAGTAGGGCTACCTTCCGAGGGAAGGCGAGCAGCTACAGTGGGTCATCAGAAGCAAAAGGGTGTCGATACCGAGTAAGGCGCCAGGTCCTCCCAGGAAATCCGCACAGGAGGCACAGAGATAAGCAGCGGACCCGCCTCTCCCGTAGTGTAGGGGAAGGGTGGAGGCCCCGCCGGTGTTTAAATAGAGCCCGGGGGCGGAGGGCGTGGGTGTCGGTGCAGGTGAAAAGGGGCGGGATAATCCAGGTTTGTCTGTGCTTGCTGGTTCTCGCTGCTCAATCTGGAGTCGCCGCCTCCGGAGCCGCTGTGCAGGCAGAGGGTGGGGGGGAATTCACGCCTTTGTTACCGCGCCCCGGGCGCTGCCAAAAGCTCGGGCTCTCTGCCCCGCCCGGGCCAGGGCTGTGCCAGGGGGTTTGAGCACCCCTGGCAGAAAAAGAAACGTCGCGTTTGCTGAAACAGGACGAGTAAAACCTCGTGTGTACTCACAGATTGGTGCCTTTTGTGACTGTATAGAATGGTTGCTTCAGGTCCTGGTCTTGCATATGTACCTTAAAGGCAGCTATGTTAGTTCAAACTAAAATCTGCCCGTAGTCATTCACAGTACTTCACTGTTCTTAGAAGCTTTGTATACAGATATTCAATATCCTCTTATGCTTTTGAGGTGTTCTTGCTATCATGTAGACCTCGAGTTGCTAACGTGTTTTTAAGTAGTTTGTGAAATATACTTGTCTAAACAATAAGGGGAGGAGGAGTTGAGCATTCTTTTCTGCAGTGACTGGTGTAACTAACTTCTCACCGGAGCTTATGAAGAACTAAACCAATACTAAATTTAAGTAACTTTCTTGTATGAATTGTAAGGTTTATAAAAAGTAATGTCACATTCAGAGTTAACTGTCTGAGGCAACATTTTTTTTTAACCCCCTAATTTAATTCTGTTATTGATGGTTAATATCTGCCTGTTTCTTGTTAGTAGGTTTGGATGGAGTCTCAGTATCTAAAGCAATGCCTGGGAGATTGCTTGAAAAAGGGACTGGCAGAGGTTGTGGAGCATCGGCCAGCAGATCCAATAGAGTATCTTGCACACTGGATTTACAGTTACAGAAGAAACTTAGATGAAGAAAAAAAGGTGGATTCAACTTAGGCAAAAAAAAAAAAAAAATCATTACAATATAATTGATGTAATATATCTCTCTTTTTAAAAATTGCTTCTATGTTACCTCTGAAATAGAGAATGTTGGAGAGGGCTGAACTGGAACAAGAACGGCAGGCAGCACTAGCAGAGCTTGAAATATTAAGAAAAAGGGAGGAAGAAGCAATGATCCAGCAGAAACTTGAAGAACAACGTCAGGTTAATAATACTTAATAGTACATAGTTCTAAATAGTATATGGTGCTATGGCATCTTGTAGTTCTTCCTATACTTCCAATCTATAATGATTTTGATAAAGGTGGCATAAAACAAGTATTTTAATCTCACTTTTCTGAATAACTAAAATTATTAGTCATCACATGGGTAGGAAAGCTTACTATGCAGTAAAATGTTATTAAAAATGAAGGCACTTAAGGTGAAAAGAAACCAGGCTTACATAAGAAGTAGCTGAACATAAGTAGGCTATCCTCTGTAGTTAATTATGAGCAAGAGCTGGTACATATAAAGCTAAAAGACATTATAAAAGTGCTAAGAGGCCTAAGAGTAATAACTAATCATTATTTCAAGCTGCTTCAGTGTAACATCAGTAATACAAAAAAAAGTAATGAGAATGTACATGCAATTAGAGAGTACTGAAAGTGGTTGGAAATCAGTTAATGAAGATTGCTTATTTAAGCAGTATGTTTAGCCTGATGCAGTGAGGTGCCTTTTTCTTTCCTTAGCTACCTGAGCTTTCCGTTGGCATAAAGTAATTAAAATCCTATGCTGTCTGGACTTACAAGGAATAAATATAATATCTCTGCTTGTAGCTATTCTTTGTAAATGAGTCACGTGAACTTGATAACACACGTATGAACCTCAGTGGTGTTGTAGTGGTGTTGACATGATCTTGTTATAAGTTACTTGTTTTCTTGAATTTTGAAGACAGCAAAAATACCTGCAGGACAAAGAAACATAGCAAGAGATTTTTATTACAGTGTGGTTACCCATTTCCAGCACTGGGTGCAACTCTGGATCATACAAAGAGCACTCACATTGTTTGAAAACCGCGCTTTTTGTACCCTTAGATATCAGTTGTTGAATATTCATTCATTGTCCGTTTGTTGCCTTAAAAGGTAATTTCCCTGCTTTGGAGGTGGGTGTTACCTTTTGGCTGGTTGTAACTTATCTCCTCTGGGCTCGTACAGGGGGGTCTTGCATCATCCCGACATTGCAAGGCATGGAGGGCCTCTCTTTGTATCCACATGGCACAGAGGAATACATTTTTATTTATAATTTGTTCCCTGTTCCCGGCCGCAAAAGATTCCCTGGTGTTAGGTCCAGACAGGACCCTTCACCTTACAGACTCCACAGTACGCCTATAAGTTAGTAAATATACAGAAATAGTTCTTTTTGTTAGTACCTTTTGTTTATTTTAATTTGCTTGGAATAAAACCGGTGCCTTTACTTATCACAATCTGACTGGATATTTTTACATGGCTGACATTCACAATGTTAAAAGTATAATTTTGAATTTGTGCTGCTCACATTAAGCCCAGTTCTAGGGTAAGATGCATTCATTCTATTTTGCTTGCATTTTTTAAATTTGGGATTTGCTAATTTGCAGGCCAAAAGTTAGCTACTGAAGGATTTCATGAGTGATTTAAAATAGTAAATAGAAATAAGAATACAAGATTGTGTCTAGAGGTATTTCACAGAGAATTAAATAAATTATTTCATATATACTATGGAAGAAATATTTTAAAATACTCACTTTAGATGCATTTTTTTAAACTAACAACTTTGTCTGTAGTCAAATACGCAGGCAAATTTTGATTTTATGTACTGAAAAGGAACATGAAAACTAGTTACAATAATATGACCGTATTTGTTATAACTGCTCACAAAATGCAAGAGCAAACAGTATTCGCTAGTGCCTTGAATATAAATACTTAGATCATGAAGTTTCTGAAGTTTTGATGCAATAGGACTTATGCTTACAAATAATAAACACTTTCTATTAGATGTCTCCAATTGGAAATACTAAAGGTTGCTGATGGACATGATTAATGTAATGACATTGCTTACCAGTCTCTTCTATAGATCTGATACTATACTGATTCATCTATCTGTGCTAGATACTATACAAACTACTAAAGAGCTTAATCCAAAGTGTAGGAGATAACTAACATAGACTGATAAAGAGCATGTGGAATGAGACAGTATCCAAAATGTGTACACTAACTTTAGTGAACTCCTTCTCCTTCCTCTTGGTAGGAAAGCCTTGTTCTCCATGAGAGCTTCTGAAACTCTTGAGCCAGACTTTCTGAAAGGACTTTCTTACTAACATTGCAGTTAGGTTTTATGCTTCCTTTTTTTTTTATTTGTAATTTCAGTTATAAAATGCATTGTAAGCAATGTGGTGGAAATATGTATGTGGCTTTTTTTTCTTTCTAATTTATCCTTTCTTAAACTGACTGCAGGCTGAGTTGGAGAAAGAACGTGAGAAGCTGGAACTGCAGAGTAAAGAAGAAAACATGCAGTTGCAGCAGGAAGATCAAAAGGTTTAAGCCAAAGCTTAGTTGGTAGTTTGAAAATACCATGAATCAGCCATCTTTTCTGAATGCAGGCATCAGTTATGAAAACACATGGCAGAAGCCCATGAGTTTTGAATTAACATATAATTTAGAAAAAAATGTAAATGGAGGGAAAATGTCTTATATCTTGTTTTTACAGTCTGGATTTTTTATCTGAACTTTGGTCTGTTCTATTTTGTTTAATTAGTGTATATTCAGAGCAGAGCATAAATTTATTCCAAAATTTAATATAGGGCCGTTTAAGCTGATGCTTCCACATTCCTTCATGGCATTTATGAGAAAGTTATAACAACATAAGCATTTTTAACTTAAGTATTGAGATAGTAATGTTTTACAGAGTGTATGTGTAAAGTCCATTTGTTGTACCTGGAAAAGGAACCGTGGTTTGGAACTGTGATGTCTCTTGATTCTGAGATCTTCCTGGTGCATGGGAAACTAAACTATACGAACAGAACAGTGTGTAAACAGACGTCTGAGTTCTTTTAATACAGTCTTTTAATGCTACTTCAGTAAAACATAGACTGATAATTGACATGTTTATCTTAATAAAGCTTTTAAATGTGAATATCTCTTAAATTTTTGTGGAGCACATAGTATTTTAGAAATACGTAAGTTTTTAGAGCACTCTGTTAAAATACTGACAGAACATAATTGTAGAAAGATGAGAGCATGAAAGTGACACAAAAATGAATATCTAGAAATTTGAACTAGAATCACTGTTATTAAAACAGTCTAAATAATTTTAAGCATACAAAGACCATATTCACATACTAAAAAATTTTACAGTACTTACCTAAAGTGTTCTTCTTATATTGATACATAATGTCTTTTTAACATAAAATATTCTCTGTAGATTTCATGTCATGGAGCATTTTTAACTGAAAACTGGCTTTCATTACCATAGGAAGATGAAAAGACAGTATCTGAACTTACAGACAGACCTGGAACACCTGATTTGACCAAAGCTGAGGAGGAGCCAGATCCGAGTGGACAGCCTGAGGTAAGTGTTTAGAAGGAGATTACAAACTAATGATTCTCACAGATTTGCTTTTCTGTGCTGATCTGTCAAAGGTTTAAACTGTTACTGTTTCTCTCCCGTGGCTTTAAGGGATGGTATTTTGGCCACAACCTCCAAACTGCCCATAGCCTGTTCTCTAGTACAAGTTAAGCAATTCTAAGTTTTTAATTCCTTTTATACTTGACAGTCCAAGGAAATAAGAGAACATGAATCAGCCTTCATTTAAAGCAAGGCAAGGAAGTGCTTTTAACAGATGATGCCAACTCCTGCAAAATCATTTAGCTTTGAGTATTCAGTGGTCATGAAGACACTGATACCTGTCCAACATTTTCCAGTTAGAGTATTCCAAATGTGATAACTTGAGTTTGATATACTGATTTTAGTACATGATTAGCAGAAAGCTTTTTCCTTTATTGACTTTAATAGTTTGCTCACTTTATTTCTGGTCTCAGTAGCGTAATTCTAGCTCAAAATTTATAGTGATATTAATGTGCTTTATGCTAAATCTACTTTATAGCAGCCTGTTTTATGAATGTTCTGTAAATATATTGTTAACATACTTATGACTGTTCCTATGGTCAGGCTTTCGCAGGTGCTTTATCCTCTAGGGTAAATCAGATGAATTCTCAATACCTCATATAGCCTCAATTTTTCTAATTTTCTGATAATTGCATATGAAAAATTATTCTTGAGGCTTCATGCATATTTTATGTGTTCTCAAATAAGCAAATTGCAAAACCAGAAGTGAAAATAAGTAGTAAACATACCTGCTGCTTTTTACATGTGCCATCTTCCAAGTTTTTATGCATAAAGTTGTTTAAAATTAGATTACATTGGCCTTTGGTAATGTTGAGGTTTTACAGTTATATGTTTGAATTAACCTAAAAATTAAGAACAGTCAATAAAATAAAATATATAGACCTTTACTTTTGGAACAGTTCTGCCCTTAGAATCACAATGCTTCATCCAGGTTGACTGGATTTTATAATAAGTCTGGTGATACCATTCATTGTATTCCACTGAAGGAAAGAATACATTATTATACTGATGAGTACCAATGTGTCTGTCATGTGCAGTTTTTTCCTGTTTTTCTTTTTACAAAGTGCAGTAAATTCTGCTAAGTGATAAAAATTTTTTGTTATTTTTTAGAGTACAACAGATCTCCCAGCAGAAGCAGAAGAAAGTTCCGAACTGACCTGAAAGCAGTAAATATATTTTCTCCTCATTACTTGCTTATCCTGAAATGTAGTATCTCGATTTACCTATTTTATAAGTAGAAGTGATTTACATACCTGTTGTTTCAGTGTTTTTGTTTTTGGCGTGTTTGTATAAAGTCTGTTAATTCTGGGATTGATTCTTCCTTTCTGTTCTTAAACCATTGTAGGTAGCATGTCTGACTTGGATGAAGAAAACTGCAACTGAAATGACAGCAGCAAATAAATTTTCTGTGTATTGCACATTGATACTTGAATTGTAACCATAATAAATACAGACAAAATGAATGTGTTAGTATTATTTGAGGGTAGATGCTACAGTATTATAATTTGAATCAATATTAAAAGAAATATTTTTGAAAAAAGATTTTTCAAGAATTTAAATGGTTTTTGATAGAAAAAGGGAATGCTTCACAAAGTGGAAGATGAAGAGATAGTTCTACACATCAAACTAGATGTAAAAATCCAATCAGAAGATTTTTCCAATGTGTTTGGAAAAGATCAGTTTATCTGTGACTCAGATGACAGATATACTAGATGATCTTGTCTCTTAGAAATCATTAGGTGATTTTTATAGATCTGGGTGTTTGCTCTAGGCTTTATAATAACCTTTTCTGGGTATTGTGTGATCCTAGGTGAGCTGCAAGAGTCTGCATATCAGTTTTGGTTAGTCAAGTTTTTAAATCTTTTTGCATTTGTCTTGAATTTCTAAATCAACAACTGAAACCTATGTTGTCTTTACTAAATACAATTATTATTTCTCAAAGCTTCACTACTAAAAAAATTAACAACAATATTTAGCTTGTTCCATAGTTATCTATAAAAATAAGTTTTATAATCCTTAAAGATGCATTAATTTTTATAAGAACAGATGTCTGTGATCACTGATATTTTGGTAAAGGTTGTCAAGAATGTTGTGTCTGTTCATTATAAATGAAAAAGACATCAGCATTAAGAAATCCTTCAATAAAATGTGCCTTTATGTCTCAGTGTCTTCTAATACAAGTTATTTGGGCAATTAACATTGTCATTGCCAATATTGTATAATCAAAATATCTTTCATTACAAATTCAGTCTGTAGTTAATGCATTCGCAGCATTCTTCAGTTCTGGGATGAAATAGATTTTTGTGATAATTTCACTTTAATTCTTTTATATTATTGCTGGCTGTAAGGGTTTTGCGATCTATGACAAACTTAAAAATATATACTACACAGGCAAAGGTCAATTGCATGATTATTTTTTTGCTCTGCATAACTTTTGTTCATGTAGGTCATACTAAGCATAAGACTCAGTTTCTAAAAATGTAAGCACTAATAACTTTTAGTATAGTAGTATATTACTTTTCCCCTGAAAATAAAATACACATTCTTTAAAATTTCTTGTGCCCTTTCTTATTACTCCATTGCTTTTTGAGTGCTTTTAACTAGCATGTCTTACATGAATAACCTTAAAATCAAAAGAGAAAAATGTCACTCTGCCAGGATAAATATTTAGAAAAGTTTGTGTAACCTTTGAAGTAATGAAAAATGGAACTACTTTTGTGACTAGGTGGTCAGACTTTCTATCTCCATTTAATCTGCATTCGTATAGGTTTGCAACTTCTATGACAGTCAAGAACCTTTTTGGTGGCATGAATATGCCCTTATGGTTGACATTGCAGTAAACTGATTTTGTCACAGTTTATGTTTATACTATTTTAACTACTATTAATAAATCTAATTTTAAGGACATGCTTTAAGATACTGCAGTTCTAGTTACACTTGTTAACACTGTAGGCACAGCAGCTTCCTGTGCCAATTTCAAAGGGATGGAGTAATTGGATAAGTAGATGGAGGTTCTCTTATGAGCCAGTATGTGTAACTGCATCTTCCACTTTAGAGTAAAATTTTTAAAAATTGGTAAGTACCTCATGTCCATTTACATTTTATGTCCGATCATGTTGACTACAAAGATTTCAACCTTCATACAGCCTTCAAATTCAAGACAGTGTTTTAAAACATGCTAGGAAATAATTTTAATAATGTGTCCTTCATTTTTTTTGATCTTTTCATAGTATTTGTATCTTTGTTTGATTTTTGTTATATGTGTCCACTAGAGTGCATCCTAAATAAGCACACTGGAGGCTCTGTCAATTACAGACCATGAAAACTGCAACTAATGTTTGGCATTTTGTTTATTTTTAACTGACTCTTCCTTTGTAATCCTGCAGTACATATTTCCCATTTTTCTTTTGAAATAGGAATTGAATTTTTGGATGGAAACTCTATCAGAAAATGGCTTAGTAAGGGTCAAAATAAAATGGTAGATTCCAATTTACCTGTTACTTTGCTGTTATGTACAGAAGATATTGTTCAAATGTTATTTGTAGGAATTCCCATTTCTTCAAGATTTTATGTGCAGAGACATAGTGCATTATTCACCTTCTGCAGCTTTATAGGAATTTCTTTATGGGACAAAAGCGTAAACAGTTCTTGGCTCAGTGCTTTCTTGAGGTGCAAACCAGCCTGTAGGTAACTTGGAAACGAAGTTCATGACAAAGATGGCTTCTGCTTGGGTGTCTAAACCTGAAGGGAAAACTAAGGCAGCTTAAAATAATTTTTGCCTGCTCTTTCTGATCTTTCACCTTCTTTGGAGTACAGCAAGCTAGAGCCTGGAACAGGAAGAGAACAGGGGAGAAGATAACTATTCTAGTTACTTCATATGATGTGATTTCAGAAGTGTTAATAGAGTTTAACCTCTGCGTAAAATCTGAAGTTAGACATTGAATAAAAAGAAGGCAATTACCTAATGTAACTTCTTCTATAGCTTCCTTTGAATACATTTTTGTGGAATGAAGAAGATGGTATTCAGAGGTACATGATAGAAACTGTCATGGAAAATAAGGTGCTAAATACTGAATAAGATTTATGAAACTGTCATTTTTCCTTTCTTCAGAATAAGAGCAGTCTTATTCAAGCTGCTATCAGACCATGTACAGATCCCTCACAGAATGTGCAGATAGTAATGTGCCCATTCACAGCTGTTCCCATTCCAACAATACTGAAGCATAAGGATGAAAACAGATATGAAGCCCAGAATAGGACAAAATAATTCAGATTAACTATCAGTCTGCTCTCCTCTACAAGGATGGTAACTCAACTCTGCAATGTAAGAAAGGAGAAATATGTGTTACAGCTAGCACATATTAATGTTATCTTTTAACAGAACAGGCTTTATTAGGTTTGCAGTCCCCTTGCTTATGATGGATGGTTTTCACAGTCTAAAGGAAATAACTTATCTTTTTGTAAGCAAAAGCCTTATACAGTAATTTGCTAATGGGAATGGGAGCCAGATGAATTGATCTGGATTAAATGTAAAATTAAGTTCCTCTGAACTTTGCTAGTACAGTTTACTCACATTTGAAGTCCACTATTAACAGCTGTACTTCTGTGAAGTTTTTCCTGTACTTAGGTTAGAAAAGAACAGTGTTGTCTATTGACTACAGCTAGAAAAGAGAGTCTAAACCTGTTGTTTGCTAATAAGGACTGAGGTAAATATCTTAACAGTACATTTGTTTGCTCTTTTGGTTTTGTATTTGTGGTGGGGTTTTTGGTGGTTTTGGTTTTCTTTGGTATTTTTTGCTTTGTTTTGGGGGGTTTCTGTTTGTTTGTTTTTTGGGGAGTTTTGAAAACTTTTGTTTGTTTTCTGGCACTAGCATTATAATCCTTCATGCAGTCATTGTGCTTTATACTTGTGTATTTGTTATAACTATTACAATGGGAAAAGTTATGCTCTTATAAATACTTACATAAACGTATATATAGGCCAACATTTATTGGTCTAATAGAGAAGGGGATAAAGGCCAGGTAGAGGACAGTGCCATTTAACTGAGCTGTCACAGTGTAGCAAACTTTTTAAGAAGTTAAGCAGAAGACTCACTGCCAGAATTTGAGAGTTCTCAGATGTGTATATGTAACTTAAATGCTGTGGATCTTCCCTGTTAACCTGCACTTCATAGAATCATTCTAATTAATCAAAATCAGTGTTTAACTTAGATCAGATATCAGATTTTTTGTAAGCTTTGCTATTTTGTATTTGAAATAAATTAGAAGGTGCTACATCATGAAAAATTAGGTTCATTAGGGCCTGTGTGAAGATCCTGAGTGTTTCCATTTTATCTTTAGTTGCAGGTCATCCAGAATCAACGGCCAGAAATTGAAATGATTTTATTATTGATACCAGGCATGTTTGTATTATCACCTGAAAGTAAAACCAAGGCATACAGTCAAGTAATATACTAAACAGAGAAGTTGCTATTTGCTTCTTGATTAATCTTACTTATCTGTCACAAAGGCTGTATTGATGTCTCTGTACTGATAAGAAATATATACCCACTAAATATCCAAATTTTCCCCATTAGTTAGCATCTGGTGTAACTTAAAATTTCAGTGTGTTTTAAATGATGATGTGAAGCTTGGGCTTGATTTAGAAAAAGAAATTGATATTTAGGCATATCATGCCACAGTTATCTGGATAATCTTAGCCTCTCAAAGGAGTATTTAGAAGGTTTAGGAATCTTTTAATGAACTCTCCAAGAAGCTTCTGCTACTTTCTGCATGTAGTCATTCATGAATTTTAACAGAAGTTACTGTCATAAAAGTTTTGGGGCTTTTTTCCCCACAATCTTGGGAAAAGTGAAAAATGTGACTTCAGTTTGATGCAAGAGCCCATTGGTGTTTGAGTTCAGCAAACTGTTTTTTGGACAAAAGAAATTATTTTATTTAGTGGCTCCTCTATAATTTAGACATTGTCTAGAAGATTCCAGATAAAGAAATTGGTTTTTCCTATGGGAGGAGGATGAAGTATGTTTGAACTTGATTAGTATTTTGATTAGACTGTTTTTTGTAATGAACTGAATCATATTTTCAGCTCTATTATAAAGCTAATTGTTGTTTTGTTTAAAAAAAAATAAAATTGAGGCAAACTATTTTTGGTGTACTGAGGAACTAGTCTTCTAAGGACTTCAGTCTTTTCATTGAAGTTGCTGAAAAAGCTGTGGTTGAAATTACTGGAGGATTGAACTCTGAACTAACATGAACATGAGTTCTAACTTGAGAAGCCATCTCCTAGTTCTTAAATTTTTAATATACTTAATAGTAAAACATGAGGTAATTGATTGACTCAAACTGCATACAGGGAAGATACTGCAGAAATAGAAAGAGACGAATTATTGTGGGGAGGATTGGAGAGAGAAAACATTCATATAATATATCATTCCAATTCCAGCAAAGGGGCACTGCAGCTCCCTTTTGCTCAGTTTCAAGTCACATTCCTGGGAGTGTGTTGGGCTTCTCCAATCATCCTGCTCAATTTCTACTCCACCTCTTGGATGTACTTTCTTCCAGAAATGACTGGCTGCATGTGGACACACCTGTATTTGGTTCATTATTATCTTAAGCAATTGCGGTTTTGCCACTGATGTGTTTAGCAGATAAGTTTAAAAAATGCTATTTATTTAGCCGATAATTGTAATCCTGGAAACAGGATCTGTTGTTTGTTTCATTGTAGGCCTAGCTGCACTGAAAAGTTACCCTTAGGCACCGACAGCTGAAAATTTCTAGGGCTGGGACTGCAGTGAAGTTCTGAGACAGCTGTTCTTCAACACTTTTTCAGTGGGCACGTGTATCTAAGTGGATCCTGTAGTAAACATGCAGCACTGTTTTTTTCTCATTTGGACTTGGGTTAAGTTTTATTGTATTTACTTGTATTTGAAACCTATGGAGTCAGGTTTGAACTGTACAAGAACTATCACTGATCATGTACTAGAATGCTATATGGAGACACTAAATATTCTCTTATCTCAGAAGATCATGTTTTTATAGACACTGATCTCTTAATATCTTTATGATAAATGTTTTTTGCCACTGCTCAGGTGTAGGCAACTGTTAACTCACACATTTTTCCGCTTACCCTTATGTGACTTTTCTAGCTTTTTTTTAAACTATCACTTGGAAACTCAGCATACTTATGATATGTAAATCTGTCTTTGTCCAGGCTTTGCTGGGCACAAAAAATCAGGAGAATACAGCCAGACCTATATATTTCTATGTATTTGTCCTGTCTCTTGACATAGAGTACTATAAGGGTGGTTTTTTTTTTTCTTTTGGTGCAGTTTCTTCAAATGTCTTTCCAGCAACTATGACTCTTTCACTATTCTATGACTGCAAGAAAGTTTCCAGTTGTATGTATGGTAAGCTTATGTAGCAACATGCCAATATTCTTCACACTTCTTTAAATCAAAGAACCATTTCACCTTTAGAAAAAGATCGATTGACTCTGAATTTTGCTCTGTTTGGTAGGATAAGTAAATTCCTAGTGTTAAGTAAGATAAATTTTTATTGCTTACAATATTTCAATGTTATACACACTGTAAAAATGAGACCTGCAGCTTTGGATAGACTCAGATATTTGTAAAATTAAAATTTAGAAATAAATTTCATATTCTGTTTTTCTGTCTGCGGAAGAATTGTTTTGGTGACTCAGGAGATCAGCTCTGTGCTTACTGAATGTGCTGGCAGGAATGGTAAAACAATCATGCCAACCATGTGGGAATATCTGTATGGGTCTTAAAAATAATTACACATTGAAATAACCTTGACCTTGCTTCTTAAGACTTACAGAATCCTCCTGGCATGTTTTATGGTACTGCAGAGGTAGAGAGTTAACAAAATAGAATTGATTACCCAAAACCTGTAAATACCTTGTTCTCTGACTGTTTCTGTTGGGATGCTAAGCCATTGGTAGCATTTGGGAAGAATTTAACAATAAACTGCAGTATAAGCTTTCCATTACTTTTCTCATTAACCAGGATTTCTGAAGACATAGGAAAGAGGTTGTCTTGGAGGAGCTAGTGTATGCTAGGTGCCAATTTCAATACTAATTTTCAAAAGCAGAAAATGGGATCTTTCACTTCACTGTCCAGACCTTCTAATATGTGTGAGTCAAATGCTTTTTCTTCGAGTTGATAGGAATAGTTCGTAGGTTTTGGTTATGGCAGGTCTGCTCTGTTCTCTGTTTTCTGGCTGACTTCTTATCAAACTGTTGAGAGGCCAAAGGCAACACTGGTGTTTAATTACAAGCGACACGGATTGTGGACATAAGAAAGAAGCAGTAGCAGGAAGCCTGTAAGCTGTCAGCCTCAGAAACAGGAAGGAATCTTCTGCCTAGAAAAAGAATTTATGATTGATATGAATGTAGGAAACTAAGGTGCTCCTTAAATTGATTTGTAGGAAAATCTGGAAGAGGGGAAAAAAGAAAAAGAACCAAAAATGGGTGAGAAAATATTGAAGTAGAAGAAGAAAAAGATATACTTTAAGAGCAGCTCTTGCACATGTTTAGCTGTGTGCTACCTGTGGGTGGCCAATATACCTATGTAGGGCAGGGTTTAAGATGGTAAAGAGAATTGTTAATAGTTCTGGCCTTCTCTTTGCCTGCCAAGTAGAGCGAGCTGCAGACTTCAGTTTCCTCTGAAAGGACTAAAACTGGTTTTGCTTCTTTGACATGATCTGGTGTTGCTAGATCTTTTTCTAGAGTACTGTGATTTCTGCATAACTTGAAAGCTCTGCATTGCAAAAATGAAAAAAAAATATTGATCCTAAATTGTTGATCTTAAACATTAAGAACAAAATTTTGAAATTTATTGTCAGAATTCACTGCTACTAGGTTATATTCAGGAAGATTGGTTTGTTTTGGGTTTTTTTTGTTGATTTTGTTTGTTTGGTTTGGTTTTTGTTGGTTTTGTTTGATTTTGTTTTGGGGGTTTGATTTTGTTTGTTTTGGTTCCCCGTGCTTGTTTTTGCGT